ACTTTTCTTGACTGAGACTTTCTTATCCTGTCAACTGTCAAGTAATCCGAATTTATGATTTAGTTCTATCTTTCATATAAAGTATTAGATTGGACCAGTAGCTTTTGTCAACTTGATCAAGGCTCTGCATTACACCAAAACCCTACTAACCACATCTGCCCCTACGTTTGTACTAATCTGGTCCAGATTAGCACAGGCACTTCATCTCTGTAAAGGACAGAAGAGGGCTGGAAAGAAGAGAGAATGAGATTTAGCAAATATTTACTAACTTACTACTACATGTCAGGAAATGGGCTGGCCATTTTCATATACATTTATCGCTCTGAATCTTCACAACCAGCCTCTCAGGAGGTAGGAATTACCTGTATTTTATTAAATCTAAAATGATTACATATGTTCACTTACAGCTGACTCACTCACACTGGACTATTTCATTTCATTATATCATTTCACTTGTAAATATATCAGAGTGAATTTCCAGAAAGATAATGCTTTAAAAAAATAAACTTAATGGAGAGTTATTACCTAATGGGTACAGAGTTTCTGTTCAAGGTGATGAAAAAGTTCTGGGGAATAGTGGTGATGGTTGCAAAATGAAGTAAAATAAAATAAACGTAACAGCAATATCATTAACATTAATTGCTTAATATATCAAATATCTCCAATTGTTTCAAAAATGTCTTTTGAGAGTTAGTTTGTTATAATAAGGATCCAAATACGGTATACGTTTTATTTGATGGGTCTCAAATCTGTTTCCCTTTCTCCTTGCAATTAATTTGTTAAAGAACCTGGGTTGTCTGTCCTGTAGAATTTCCACATTTGGGATTTTTGTAATCCAATTTTTTGGCCCATGGTGCCATTTAATATATTCTTCTGCCCTATGTATCTCCTGCAAACTAGAGGCTTGATCAGATTTAGGTTCAATTTTTTGGCAAGGGTGTCTCATAGGTGGTGGTATGCTCGTCCTATTGCAACTTTTTGTGGTGTAAAGATTGATCAGTGATTTCAAGTGTTGTCAGCCTGATCCATCCATCAGAAAGTTTCTTATCAACTTTTCACCTAATAGATTTAGCAGCCATTGATGATCTTTGCCTAATCCACTCTGTCATTAGGGGTTGTAAAGTGACAGTATTCGTTTTTTAAAATCAGGTTTACTGAGGTATGGAGCCCTGGTGGCGCAATGGTTAAAGCGTATGGCTGCTAACCAAAAGGTCTGAGGTTTAAGCCCACCAGCCACTCCGAGGGAGAAAGATGTGGCAGTCTGCTTCTGTAAAGACTGCAGCCTTGGAAACCCTATGGAGCAGTTCTACTGTCCTAAAGGGTTGCTATGAGTCAGAATTGACTTGATGGCAGTGAGTTTGGTTTGGTTTTTGGTTACTGAGATACAGGCAGCCCTCGGGGTAGGAATGAGATCCGTTCCTGAGTGTCTTTCAGGTGAATCTGTAGGGAAGTTGGAACAGGTGCAGACGGTTCTTAGTTAGCCTCACTTTAGTGCAAGAAAAGGCTCGAAGCCTTTTCAGTGAGTTAAAAGCTGCACTGCAGCAAGAGAAGGTGATTGTGATGAATTTGTCGATCAATTCAAAGTGAGGGCAAACTTACATAACATTAAACGGCAGGCAGGAGTTATCTGTTAAGTCAGACATTCGTAACCTGGGGACTGCCTGTATAATTTATATAGAATAAAATTCATCCTTTTAAGTGAATAGTTTCATTAGTTTTTTAAATTTTATTTTATTGTGTTTTAGGTGAAAGTTTACAGGGCAAATTAATTTTTCATTCAAAAATTTATACACATATTGTTATGTGACATCAGACGCAATCCCTGCAATGTGTCAGCACTCTTCGCCTTTCCCCCCGGGTTCCTCATTTCCATTCATCCAGTTTTCCTGTCCCTTCTTGCTTTCTAGTCTTTGTTTTGGGGCAGGTATCACCCATTTGGTCTCGTATACTTGATGGAAGTAAGAAGCATGTTCCTCACTTGGTACTGTTTTATAGGCCTGTCTAATCTTTGGCTGAAAGGTGGACTTGAGGAGTGGCTTCAGTTCTCAGTTAGCAGGGTGTCTAGGGGGCCATAGTCTCAGGGGTCCCCCGGGTCACCATCAGATCAGTAAGTCTGGTCTTTTTTTGTGAATTTGAATTTTGTTCTATAATTTTCTCCAGCTCTGTCCGGGACCCTCTATTGCGATCCCTGTCAGAGCGGTCTGTGGTGGTAGCAGGACACCATCTAGTTCTTCTGGGCTCAGGCTAGTTGAGGCAGTTTCATGAGTTTTGACACACATATAGTCATGTAACTACCACCACAATCAAGATATAGAACATTTCTGAAGGCCCAGAAAGTTCTGCAGTCAGTCCCTTCCTCTGACCCCCAGCTCCTGGCAACCACTGATCTGTTTTCTGCCCCCACAGTTTTGCCTTTTCCAGAATGGCATACAAACGGAACCATATGCTATGTAGTCTTTTGTGTCTTTTCTTTAACTTAGCATAATGGTTTGAGTTTCATCCATGTAGTGTGTATTAGTAGTTCTGTTGCTTTTTATTGTTGAGTAGGATTGTATTTATGGCTATACCTACAATTTGTTCCTTCATTCACCAGTTGATGGACATTTGGGTTGTTTCCAGTTTTTGGCCATTATGAATAAAGATGCTAAGAATATTACTGTATAGATCTTTGTATGAATTTAAGTTTTTAATTCTCTTTGGTAAATTTTTAGAAAGAGAATTCTGGGTTGTATGGTGAATGTATATTTATATGAAACTGTCAATAGTTTTCCAGAGCAGCTGTACGATTTTACATTTCCACTAACAACGTTTGAGAGTTTTAGTTGTACTACATTCTCACCTTCACGCGTTACTGTTAGTCTTTTCTTTATTTTAGCAATTCTAATGTGTGTGTAGTGCTAACTTACTGTGGTTTTAATTAGCATTTTCCTGATAACTAATAATCACTAGTTATAGGCATCTTTTCATGGGCTTATTGGCCAGTTCTTTATCTTCTTTGGTGAAGTGTCCAAATCATTCATCCATTTTTAAATTTAGTTGTTTGTCTTCTTGTTGTTCAGTTGTTAAGAATTCAAATGATGATAATCTTATTTTAGAGTCCTTCTACATTTATTAGCTGCAATTCTTCTATAAAGAGGTTTTTTTCCCATCAATTATTTGACAACTTTGAGATATAATTTGTACAGGAACAAGAGAAATCGTTGATTCTTCTTTTTTTTTTTTTTTTGGTACCAGTTTTATGAATCATGATTTTGTTCCCTAACATCCTCCACAAGAGGACTGAGTTGTTGTTTTGATTATCATTATGTCCTTATGGATTTTAACATATCATAGGTGTTTCAGTCATTATAGTTATTATTCTTTTTTTGATGATCAAATTATCTCATCTTTAACCAGTAGGAGACCTTTTAAGTTGGTCTCTGAGTCTTTCTGACACGACTATAGTAGTCTCTGACAGTGTCTTTGCTTTCTGGTATGACAAGATTTTCCATCTCCTCTTATATATATTTCCTGCCTCAGATCTAGAAACAGTTATTTCTCTAAGGATCCCTATTTCTTAGTGAGAAATGGTATTTATAGACCACCATCTGGGGGCCAGCAGTGCTCACTGCTACAGATGGGTAATTGTTTCTAGGACTTTTCTGTAAACAGAGCTAGGGAAAGTTGTTTCTCTCTCTCTTTTTTTTAAAAGTGAACATCTAAAGATGTTAAAAAAAAAAAAAAAAAGAGAGAGAACAAAATTTCATACTGATATTTCCAATTCAAATTTAGGATTATAGGTTTTTATTTCTTTGATTTTATATTTGCACCTCCTTTCTCTTACACTGAAAATCTTGGTACCTAATAAATACTAACATATTTACTTGTTTGCTTTATCTTACTATATAATATTTTCAGAATAACAACACCAACATTATTATTAACAATATGATGGTTGAAAGCAATTTAAAATTTCTTTGCAGTTCTTTTTGCTTTCAGAAAATACAGTCAAATTACTGTGTTTTCCGATCACTTGAAATAGCCCCCCATGTGGTTAATGCATCCATTCGATGGCTTATTTAGGTTCGTTTGGTTTTATTTTGTTTGACTTTTAGGGATTGTCTTTTCCTTCTATCTTGATTTAATTTTGTTCTATATTTTATGTACATGGTCCTAAAACTCAAACCTACAAAATGAAGTACATTCAAAAGTATAGCCTGTACTCCTATCCCATTTTTACATTTTACTCTTTTTAATGGCCCACAGTATTCCGTTGTAGTGAATTTTAATTCTAGGTAAAAGATCTCTATCAGCCTAGTATTGAACGCCAATGCTGTTGCAAAAATAATGCCTAAAAGCGATTTCATTCTTAAGGTTAAATTCTTCCTCTGTTTAAACAAACTCTATTTTGTATAGAAGTAGCCCTCGTGGTGCAAAACAAAAAGATTAAAGCCAAGAAAACCCTATGGGGGCAGTTCTCCTCTGTCATATGGAGTCGCTATGAGTTAGAACCGACTGGAGGAACAACAACAACGACATTTTGGATAGAAACTGCAAAGGTAAACTTTAGTCCAACGCTGAATTGTCACATATTTGAAATACTTAGAATTAATTTTTTTAAATAAAATACAAATCCACTTTAATTTACTAAGGACTATAATGAATGCAGAAATTCTTAAGCATGAACACTGATATAATATTGCTCTCACAAAGGTACAAGTGTCTTTGGCCAGCTGTAGTATCTGCATATCATCCTGGGGATTTGTTAACTAGAGGGGTGATAAAGCCGTAACATTCTCCAGTACATACCTCTCTGCCCGCTTCTCCAGCTTAAGCAGAGGTGCCCCAGCCTTCGGCCCTCAGCAGTGTTCTTTCTCTACCTTGGGCCTCTGCGTGACTTCTCTACATTCATGGTGTTGCAGTCCCTCTATTTGCTAAAGACTGACATATTTCTAGCTCTAGGTAACACTTTTCTCTGTAATATTTTTCTAAGTTTTAAGGAAGATCACTGAAGAACTCACCAGCCCATAGGTCCCATTGTTTCCGCTCTCGTTTTCCCACGTTTTGCTTCCTTAAGCAGTTCTTCTATTGCTTTCCTGGTGGAAACAAGGGAAGAAATTTGAGGCAGTCACTCCATTAAGTTCTGAAAAATTAATTCCTTTCACTTAGAAGATCCTGGGAAAGGAACAGACTTTTGAAGCATGATAAGCGGGGCAGAAATTTTTAAAGAATGGTTCACAGTTTTGAACACATGAAAAATTAAAAAACAAACAACTTTTTATATGAAGGGGACAAACACTCAAAAGAAAATTAGAGAAAATGACAAACTGGAAACAATATTTGCAATATGAGAATTAAATCACATATCCTTAATGTAATAATTATGTTTCTTTTCTTATTAATTTGAAGAATAACCAAAAGACATGAATGGCCAAATATATATATCTCCATACTAAAAATGTTCAAATTCACTATTATTCTAAGAAATACTAATGAGCCCAACAATGATAAATCTGTTTCTGCCCGTCAGCTACATTTCCACCAACAATGTACGGGAGTTCTAGTTGCTCCACATCCTCACCTTCACTTGTTACTGTTAAGTCTTTTTTTATTATAGCCATTTCTCTGTTAGTGGGGACTTAAACTCATATAACATTTCTGGAGCACAATCCGGCAAGACTATTAAAAGACTTAAAAATAGTATACACTTGTTGACCTAAAAATTCCACTGTATCCTAAGGAAATATTCAAGTAAGTGTGCAAAACTATATGCACAAGGATGCTCATTAAATCACTTGTTAACAATTTAAAAAGAAACAAACAGAAAACCTAAATGCTTACTAGTAAAGGATTGGTTCAATAAATCATGGCAAAGCCACATGGTAGAAGATTAGGCCATAATTAAAAATGAACACAAATGAGTACCTGGTACAGGAAGACATTCATAACATATCAAATCTGTAAGACTGGCTACAAAACAGTGTGGATAGGATACTTTTATCTGAAATTTATTTACAGGTATACACGGCATAGGAAAACATTTGGAGGGATGTTATTAAAATAGTAAGATGAGTTTTTATGTGATGTTAATTAATTAATTTTTTCATTTGCTTCTCTGAATTTTCTACTTTTTCTAGAGTGAACATGTATTACTTGTGTACTTTTAAAAAAGAGGTGAATGAAAAACAGAAAACTTACTGATCAACAATATTCCGAGACTTTACTTTGTTCAGATACTGAGCAAGGTGCTACAGGTAGTAACACAGCAAGATAATCATCCCTGACTTTAACATTACTTGTGATAGTGCAGTGGTTTCCAAGGGCCACTGTTTAACAAAGCATCACAAACGGGGTGGCTTAACATAACAGAAATTTATTCTCTCACAGTTCTTAAGGCTAGAAGTCCAAAATCAAGGCGTCCACAGTGCCATGCTCTCTCTGAAGGCTCTAGGGGAGGGCTCCTTCCCTGCCTCTTCTGGCTTCTGGTGTTTGCCCGCAATCCTTGACATTTTCCTTGGCTTGTAGATGCCTCATTCCAGTCTCTGCTCTGTCTCCACACGGCCTTCTGTCCTGTACCTCTGTGTCTCTTCTTATAAGGACACCAGTCAGACTGGATTAGGGCTCACTCTACTCAAGTATAACCTCATGCTAACTTAAACTAATTGCAAATAAGGTCACATTCACAGGTGCCGGGGTTAGGACTTGAACATGTCTTTTTGGAGGAAACAAATCAACCCATAACAGATATGCAAATAACAGAAACAGAGGTATAAAGTTGGAAACAAATACTGTCCAAAAGACACAGCTATAAATCTAAGAGCAAAGTTTTGAAACTGGATACTTTATATAGATTTGATATTAAAAAATTTAACTATTAAACTACTACTATAGATACTATTTATATAATCCTCAAATGATATTACCATTCTGTTAGTTTATAAAAATGTTTTATTTTATATTAATTTTTATCAAAGTAAAAGTAAAAACATGCACATACCTTAAAAAGACAAATATTATTTAAAGGCTTATAATAATAACCAGCAGTCTTCTACGTCATCCTTCTTTATCCACCAAAGAAAAACAACTTCAACCCTTTTTTCTGTTCCTCCTGGTATTTACTTCCATATTTCTAAATAATATGCTTTCAACCTATTTCACCACCACCCTCTTGATCTTCAACAAATACATCTGAGTATTTTTGTACTGATTTTTACACTTTTAATAAACTCCTATTAATAGCTGTTGTTATTAGTTGCTGTCGAGCTGGCCCCAAACTCATAGCAATTCCATGCACAAGGGAACAAAGTACTGCCCAGTCCTGGTCATCCCCATGATCAGTTACAGCTCGGACCATTGTGATCCATAAGGTTTTCACTGCTGATTTCCAGAAGTACATTGCCAGGCCTTTCTTCCTAGTCTGTCTTTGACTGGAAGCTCTGCTGGAATTTGTTCAGTATCACAGCAACATGCAAGCCTCTGCTGACAGATGGGTGTTGGCTGCACATGAGGTACACTGGCCAGGACTCAAACCTGGGTCTCCCACATGGAAGGCACGAATTCTACCACCAAACCACCAAGGCCCCATCTATTAATAGTTTTGTTGTTAGGTGCCATCTAGTCAGTTCCGACTCACAGTGACCCTATGTACAAGAGAACGAAACACCACACTGTCCTGTGGCATCCTCACAATTGTCGCTATGTTTGAGCCCACTGTTGCAGCCACTGTGTCAATCTATCTCATTGAGGGTCTTCTTTTTCACTGACCCTCTACTTTACCAGCATGATGTCATTCTCCAGGTACTTGTTCCTCCTGATAACATGCCAAAGTATGTGAGACAAAGTCTTGCCATCCTCTCTTCTCAGGAGCATTCTGGCTGTACTTGTTCCAAGACAGATTTGTTCATTCTTCTGGCAGTCCATAGTATATTCAATATTCTTCGCCAACACCATAATTCAAAGGGGTCAATTCTTCTTCGGTCTTCCTTATTCATTGTCTAGCTTTTGCATGCATATGAGGTGATTGAAAATACCATGGCTGGGGTCAGGTTCACCTTAATCCTGAAAGTTCGAAGTCACATCTTTGCTTTCTAACACTTTAAAAGAGGTCTTTTGCAGCAGGTTTGCTGGGTGCAGTACATCATTTGATTTCTTGACTGCTGCTTCCATAGGTGTTGATTGTGGATCTAAGTAAAATAAAATTCTTGATAACTTCAAACTTTTCTCCGTTTATCAGGATGTTGCTGATTCATCCAGTTGTGAGGATTTTTGTTTTCTTTATGTTGAGGTGTAATCCATGCTGAAGGCTGTAGTCTTGGATCTTCATCAGTAAGTGCTTCAAGTCCTGTTTGCTTTCAGCAAACAAAGTTGTGTCATCTGCATAATGCAGGTTGTTAATCAGTCTTCCTCCAATCTTGATGCTGTGTTCTTATTCACACTAATATTACTATTAATAGTAAGACCTTTGAAAAATGTCTTTTCAGTTTACTCAGCAGCTTGACACTGTCTGACCAATCCTGGGTTCGTCCTGTAACTGGATAAATGAAGAAATGAAACACCTCTACCTACCTACTAACATGTGCACCTCGTCAGCCCTACAGTCAGATCATGTTTCACAGCCCGGCCTAGTGGGAGCATGAACAGACAAGTGCATGTGATTACTACATATGCTGCTGCTTCTACCTCCTTCAAATAATAATACCTTCTGCTGATGTCATCTGGGGACTTGGTCTTATACAGTGTTTCATGAAAATTCTATCTAGCTCCAAAACAGAGATCCTTTTTCAGTCTTACGGACGTAACTAAAAAAATCCAAGGGTAACAATATTCCAAATACACTTTTCCCCTTCCAATAAATTATTGAGGTAATTTCTAAATAAAAACAGGTTGTCGATTATACTTACATCCATCCATGTACTCTTTCTTCTCCTGACCAAAAAAAAACATCAGGGAAAAAACTTGTTCGGGCAGTCTCCAATTATGAACAAAACTATGTATGTTATAAATAAACTAGAATGCATCTCCCCATGAAAACTGTGTTAAAATGTTTGCCCAGCTTTCTGGGCCAGCCTACAAAAGCCTATTTGTGTCAAAATACAGTTGAAATGCTGTACATCTAAAGAAAACACTACTCAGTGAAGAATCTTGCAGAGATCCTGGAGGCAGATTCTAGGCACTTAAGAGCTAGAAAGTCTGACGCTGATTTCTCTTTAGTTTCGACTTCACTTAAAAAAACTTTCTCCAGCATTGTTAACTATCTACCACGGGATGAAGGATGCCTCCTGGTTTATAACCACAACCAAAGAGAAGAGAAACGATACCTATGCTAAAGACTGCTGAGGTGAGAGGAAGTCATGATGGACAAGAGGTCTGAAAGGAGGGGCACAGACTGGGAGGAGGGACAGGCCTTCAGCCAGATGGCCTTCTTTCTTCTGGTAAAGATGGCTGAGCTGCAGTCCACAGCAAATGCAGTAGGCAGTACCCATTCCTATGGTTGGGATGTACCCAAGTTAGGTATTTGTTACTGGTTTAACAACAACTGAGGCCCTGGATGGTACAAACAGCTGACATGCTTGGCTGCTAACTGAAAGACTGGCAGTTTGAGTCCACCCAGAGGTGCCTCGGAAGAGCTTGGCAATCTACTTCCGAAAAATCAGCCACTGAAACCCCTATGAAGCACAGTTCTACTCTGACACACAAGGGGTCGCCATGAGTTGGAATTCACTCAATGGCAACTGGTAATGTTGGTATGGAGCCTTCCTGAACCTGTCACCCTCGAGTCGATTCTGACTCATAGTGACCCTACAGGACAGAGTAGAACTGCCTCATCTTTCTCCGGAGGAGTGGCTGGCGGGTTTGAACTACTGACCTTTCAGTTAGCAGCAGACAGCTTAAGTACTATAATATCTTAACATGATCACATAGTTATCACCAGTTTACAGATGAGGGAAGTGATACTCAGAGACAGACTAACTTGCCCAAGATAACAGGGCTAATGGTCAGGGAGGAGAAGGAAGAGAAACACAAATCAACCAACCAAAACTTGACCCATGCTTTTAAGGTTCCATATCCTCTGATTTGTTACGCTGTCTCCTTCACA